AAACAAAAAAACTTCTTAAATTACACTATGGTGAGTTTCCTTTGATGAGAAATCATGGCCATTGGAAAAGATCTTCCATAGCATGACAAGTTAGTTAGTAAAAACTGCAAAAACCACCCTTTTCTTAAAAAAAAAAGAAGGCAAAAAAAAGAATGTATATGCCTACTGCATCTTTAAAATATGGATAAAGAGAAACACCTAAACCATCCATTATGAAACTGAGAATATCTCATCAATAGATTGGTCATCATGCATAACCACTGGATTACCTATTGATGTTTCATTTTCTAAAAATTCTCGGAGTTCTGTTTCAAGGTCAGGGACAGCCGATGTTCCAGCAGCAGCACTGGCAGTTGTAGGACCTGTTGAAAAAAAACATGTTCATAATTTTTGAGCGGCCCCAATACTGTTTATTACTAAAGAATATGAGGGCCGATGGCAACTTACCTCTTGAATGACTGGCTTCATTGACATGCATGTGACCACTTGAAGTGGAGCTCACACCCTCACTTGTATTTTGAATTTCAGGTGAGACGCCTAAGGCTTTACGAATACCTGCTACAGGTACAATGGCTGCTGGGGGAACTCTTTTAGCCAAATCAGTAAGATTTTCAGTAATTTTATCAACTGCAACAAATCAAAGAAGAAAAAACGTTAAGTTTCACCACAAATGGAAACAGGTTAGCAGTCTAGGAACTTGTGTATTATATGTCACATATTTCATCAATTGGACTGAAAACTCTTCTGAGAACTCTTAAGAATGAATTTTGCAATCTTCAATGTACAGGGGCGTGAGTTGCAAAAGAGTAAACTCATACCTAATGATTGCTCGGCTACAGTGGGTTGAAGGACTTGTGAGAGATGAGAGGGTGGAGCAGTGCTCAACCGATCACTCTGCACCTGCTGCAAATTCTCAATAAGTCCTCCAGTAGTGTTCAGTTGAACTTGAGTTTGCCTTTGATCCTCAACTTCTTTCTTGAGGGTTTCTGAAAAATTACATGAGAAAATTTTTAAGCGAGGATGAATACAGTTCATTAGAGTGGTCCATTGTCAAAACAAAGGACCATCGCTCAAAGTATTAAGCAGTTTTAGGTTAGATTACTCACCTACTCCTTCCAAGAAACTAATGTCAATACCAAGATCACTCAATGAATTTAGGTTATCTAGGTTCATAGCTTGAGGAGGGATGCTGACTTGTGAAACCGGATGAGTTTGGGTCTGAGAAGTTCCTTGAGTCGGCACAATTTGGGGAGAAGACTGGACACTATCATGACTTTTAGCACTGTCTAAAATGACTCGCATGCGTTCTTCCTCTTCTCGCATTTTTCGTCGGTCATCAAGGTTTTTCTTTGTTCTCCGATGCTCGCCATGTGTCAATATGTCAAGAAGATTGTCAACCATTGTAATGGTATAGTCATTGTCTTTTGCAAAATCAAGAATACTGTAGATAATGAAAAATAAAACATTAGATATTTCTAAATAACCATGTCTACAGTAAATAGCACATAAAACATTAAGTAGAATTATACCTTTCTGCATATTGAACAGCAGCTTCATCACCATATGTTTGATATACAAGATCAGATTCATCCTTGCTAAGATTCGCAAACGTTGAGTCATGGGATGGTGCATATGATCCAAAAGCACCATAGTACAGAGGTTTCACTAATAATGCAAACATTGGGATGTAGTTAGATAAAAATTTGGAATTTAATTGAATTAATAAAAGTGAAAGTCACACCAAGATGGTAGATTAGATTGGAGCATCCTACTCTAATCTAATCACACCAAGATGGTAAAACTAAAATATGTAGGTACCTGTCTTGGCTAAATTTCTCCTGTCTTCTCGGAAACCTAGAATTGTCCCTGTTCCATGGGTTAGTTTGCCTGTTACTGATCCTAGTAACACAGTTTTTTCTTTCTTTTCAAAGTCTACTCCATCCCCTGGCACTAAGATATTTAGAGATGTGGTACCATCCTTGCGTTGGCGTAAAAAGCCCATCTACAATATCCACAAGAAAACACACAACTTTAATACCGTAATAATCTGTGCAGTTTACAAGAAAATGAACTCTATTATGTGCTTAAACTTACCATTGTCTTGTTTTTTTTAGACGCCAATTTTGCTGCAGCATTTTGACTAGCCCTCTTGGCTTGCTCAAGAATTTCTTCAGGAGATAAGTCATCAGGAATAGCTTCAAATTTGCTTCTGAAAGAAAAAAAACACTACAATGAAACCAGCCCTACAAAATATTTCTGGTTAAAAGGAATCACAAAATTATGTCTGCACAACATGGAGAGTGAACCACCTCATGAGAAAATAGGGGCAAAGTGATTTAAAATTTGCACACAGTCTTTTAAATACTGACAAATGGTATTTTCATTCCATAACTTAGAAAGCAGACCTCATCTACACGGTCAACTTTCCAGTTCAATAAAAAATGAAAATCAATCAACCAGCATGACAGTAAAGACTTCTAAGGCTTGGTTTCAAATAATTTTGTCCCTCAATTTGATTCACACTGCATGAGCATCTTTTTATGGGCCAGTAAAGAACCTCTCCCTTTAGAATCAATGGAAAGGGAATACACAGGCCACAGGAGCAACACATAAAAAAGGATCTGCTACAAATCTCAAGCCTTACATTACTGGTTTATGTTCTTTCTTCTTGATATCAACTTCCATGCTTTCTTCCCCATGCAGAGGATCTTCAGTGCCAACATCGGACACAGCTGCTGATGGACTACCAGAGGGAATAAGATCCGAAGGTACAAAACCTTCTCCTACATCAAACCCTAAAGCCTCCCGTCCAATATCACCCAAGTAAGTCAATACAGAGCGTAAAGGTTTCAATTTGTCAGGACTCATCATTTTGACACCAGAGGAGAGCAGTTTCTTGGCAGCCTTGTAGTAAATGGTATTGGGCTGATTGTACACCATAGCATTGTTACACAACAGCTTAAAGTCATCCTGAAGCAGAAACAAAATTTGTTAGAAATCTTTTCTAAGATACAGACAAAAAATATACATTTACTCAAAAAAAAATTATCTCTTACGATAAATTGTGAGAGTGACATGTAGATTCCATTATCAATTCTCTGCTTCATGGTACTAAAGTCCATTGGTTGAGATATAATTGATGAGTACCCTGGAGCAATATGGTCAGTCACTGGCCATGCAAAGAGCTGCTTAGGGTCTTTCTTCTCCAATGCTTTTAAAAGGTACTCTAGTAACCTCTGAAGTGCAGAACGTTCTTGTCTCTGACGTAAAACGCATGACCTTGGTTCCCGAGCAGCAGCTGCAAATTTAAACAAAAATAAGATAATGCAAGTGACAACAAAAGAAACACTGCAAACCAAATAAAACAAAAGTTGCTAAATTTTCGCCTACCATCAACTTCACGAGCAACAGCCATCATCTGCTCATCAATCATCTGGTTTCCATCTAAACCAACACGCTTGGCTGGAGGTTCTGATAAACTTTCTTCACCGACACTATTGTCATCCTGACTAGATTCTTCTCGCCGTTTCCGTTTTTCCTGTGGAGAAATTAATATGAATGCGATTTAAAAAATACAGTTTTGTTGAAGATAAGAAATTACAAAGAAGAAAATCAGAACATATTCATTATTTACAATAAAATATACAGAATATTACAATACCAATACCTTATGATGATGTTTGTGTTTTTTCTCATGCTTATCTCGGTCCTTCTCCTTCTTTTTCTTCTTCTTTTTGGCTTTTTTGTGAGAGCGATCAGATGAAGCATTGGCGGAGTTCAGAATGTCGTCCCTTACACTTGTCAAATGAGAAGATGATGCAGCTGACAGTCTACTAGTTTCTTCATCTACCATGGGCCCCATAGAATCGCACGAATTGTCAGGAGTAGAGTTGCTCATTTTCAAAATTAATCGGAGGCTGGGTGGTTTGTCACCACCAGAATGCAGTTTGTCTGAAATGAACAGAGAATGCAACAATCAAGAATTTGACAGTTAGAACACACCAACATTTGAAATTCGAAAATACGCATGAATGAGAAACCAAACGTTGAAAATATGTTTGGTGGTACGGAAAACACAGAGAAAAGCATTAAAATTAATGCAATAATAAGAAAAAATATTAAACAAGCTTTGTCGTAAGGTTATGTTGACATAAAACTCACCTTCATGTCGATCGCGTTTCTCAGACTTGTGCTTCTTGTGCTTTTTTAAGCTCATTTTGAAAAATAAAAATAAATTGAAAGAAACTCAAACTTTAAAATAGAGGGTTGTTTTGAACGCCCGCACATTTACAAATGAAATAAAATTGCCCACAGAACAAAAACCGTTTACATTCCGGCAGAAAGGAAGCGGCTTCGGCTTGCCTTGATAACAGTGCTGGTAGTTGACTTTGACTATAGATGGCGCCAACGTACCAGTACCAGTATGAGAAGTTTGTACTACCCGACTGCGACTATTGGCAAAAACCCTTTTTTATGTAATTATGTAATACTAGCTCTAGTCTGGGACTATAATGGTCGAGCAAGTCCTATTTAATTTATTTTAAAATTCTGGTCATGCAAAATTATTTTCTCTTTCATTGTAAGAAGTATTAAAATAAGCATACAGTCTCCAGTATTTTTCCTATGATGTACAAAATTGCCTTTTTCACATTTGGACTGAATTTTTGGGCCAGCAAGACCGTCAACATAAGGTCTCAGTTATAGCTTCAGCTTTAGTTATAGTTAGGTACTAGGTAATGACTTCCGAGGCAGAACAAACCAAGCACCTACCGCCCGTTTCGGAGTCAGCTTGCCGCCTGCAAACACCTGGGTAGGCACACCCGCCGAACAGCCCTGCGGAGTCGGCTGCCCACCCTGGCGGCGCCCAGGTGCAAGAACTTAACTACGGAAATCGTCAGGGGCATCCTTTTCTTATCACCTTGACAAACATTCATTCTGAGAGCTCCGTTAGAGGAAAAGACAAAGAAATTACATATTTCAGCTCCGTATTTTGAGAGGAGAGATAGTGGCCTCATCACTATCATTCAGGCTTCACGATGGAAGTACCCAAACTAGAAACTGGACAGCTTTAGCATCAGCAACATAAAGTTTAGATTTAGAGGAACAATAACTTTTGATAAGTAGTGCCGGCCTCATCGCCTTGACAACTGAAGTAATAAAGAACAAAAGTACTTATGGACATTAAAATAAAAAGATCACAAGTGCATAGTAATTGGTTTATTTTCAAAGCTTACAGGAAAAGAATCAACTAGATCAAGAATAGCATAGTATTTATCCATAAACAGCAGCAGAGGATATTTGCTGTCAAATATCACAGCGTAAATCATAAAATATATCTCCTCTTCACCAGTTCAGAAATGAGAGCATTCAGAAACTTTGCACATGTCGTAAAGCTGCATCTTGTTAGGCTTCTTTAAGCTGACTAGCCACATGAAGCAACCGGAGACTGCTGGTTCTGACAGGGCACCTGTAGCGAAATCCGAAAACTGAATGACAAATCTGTAAACAATTACAATGGGAAGTTAGGTAATTAGTTCATTAATTATA